CAAAATTATTTCTTATCAAAGTAATAATTCCCAAAGAGCTACAAGTATAAATTCTTGAATAAACTCATTCAATAATATGTCTCTGTGGTGTAGAGGAAAACGCGTAGGATTTAGTTTCTATTAGACCGAGGTTCGATTCCTGCCTAAGGCAACGGTTTTTAGTTTTTAAAAACACGTTTGATTTACATCGGAATGCCGACGTCGCGCGATGTCAGTTTATCCGACGTCAAATAACATTTCCATTTCCAACGTAAACCAAACGTCGATCCGACATCGAGATCCGATGTAGCTTGACGTTCGTTCGACGTCGAAATGCCCACTGGGAATGCAATTCTTTAAAACGTTAGTCGCTTAAAGCGTCAAAAGTAATGCAAAAAAATAAATTATAAATTTTGTGGTTTAAAAGTTGAAAAACTAATAATAATATAATAAAAAGTTTGGTAATTTTTAAACGTTATTATTTAGCTCTTTCTTATGGTATTTATTTTGTTTTCATTTTACATTTTTAAAAAAATATTGAAGCACCTAACTACATGCATAACTTGCATAGATCACAAGTTAAGTGCGCATTTATCAGAGTCGCTGTGCAAGGCTTCAAATCCGCGCCTAAAAAATCTCAATACTTTTTTTTTAATTTTTTTAATCTGGCTATATTTATAGCAAAAAATTAAATATAACAAAAAACCTATTAATTGCTTTTATTTTCATTGCCTCCACTGCAATACCATGTGGAGTAGCAGGACGGTTTTATCAAATTCTTTCCTCATAAGGTTTTAGGACCTTTTTTTTAAAAACTATCCGTAGCTTATTAGGACCAATTATGTGAGAACAGTATCAAAATCATGACACACACGCAACACATTTTCGCCCCGTTTATTGGTGTTTTTAGAAATCCAAAAAATTCATAAAATATAAAAAGAAAAAACAGTTAAAGTGTATAACATTTGACTTGTTTAACTTCAAATATTTTGTAATTTAAAGATTCTAGGAAAAAAATCGCTAGTGGTAAATTTGAACCACGACTATTACGTTCAGAAGCTTAGCTCGCTAACCACTCGGCCATGCTGACACATCAAATATCGAAAATTTAAAAATATATAAAAATTGTTTTAAACGGAATTGCTGTAGATCAAAAATTAAGGAGAGGTTGACGCAATGCAATTTTTAAGTCAAAGTCAAACTATAAAACTTGAAAAAATGTTTCAGCATGTTTTATCATTACTTAATTACGTACGTTAGATATTTGCATACACGTTTTTTTATAAAAAAAGTGCTGCGACTCTTTCTACTAATACTACTATTAAGTTCGGCATTATTATATAGAAGATAGATAGATTATAAAATAGTTTTTCACTTAAAAGGACAAATTCTATTCCACATTAACCTTATCTCTATTTCTCCCTCTAATATTTTTTAGTGAACAATAGATTATGTGCTGGAAAAAAAAATTCAAATATGCACTTTTCCCGTATATTTATATTTAGAGCTTAAAATGAAGAAGGTAAATCAGTTAGTTCAAGACAACCTGCCTAAACCCAAATCCTCTGTTGATTTATGCACACTCACTGTGGCTAGGCGTGTAAAATAAGTAGCTAGGCAAGTCAAATAAATTAACTTGATCTGTTTTTCTGCATAAAACAAAAACAGAAAATGTGAAGTACTTGATATAAGGAACTGTAATAATTAATTCAATACAAAGTGATGGGAAACTGCAAAATAAGGTAACAACGTGAAAATTATTCAAATACTAATTTACAACAATTTGTATTGCGTTTTATTAAAATAGCTTTATTAAATGGTATGAAGATTGATGATTCTTCTTTTTCGCCTTTAGAAAATGATTAAAGATTTGAAAGACTTTTAAATTGATTATAAAAGCATTATCTAAAAATGAAATAAAATCATTATTGATTACACTGAATGCACATTTATTTGTTTTATGTTAATTCATTTGAAAAATGAAAAATACGAAACGAAATTTAGTAATATTAAATAAATATTAAACACTTACTGTGTGAGAGTGCTTTTGTAAAAGTCTCTAATATTTGGTTAGAAGGCTGGAAATACTCTTTTTTTTAAAAAATTCAGTTTTATCAGTATTGCTAAAGATAAAAATTCTTATTGACACAAAAAAACTCGGCATTTTTTCTTAAAATATTTCTTGGCTTTTAGTGAATGATTAGGAGTAAGTTTCAGTAATGAAGCTACCCAATAATCATTTTTAACGATAGACACCAACGTGAAGGTAAGCCAAGCTGTCTATCAACACAAAACATCACAACAACAGTACAGGATGACAAACAATAACAACAGTAGTGTAGGTGGGATTTTTGTTGTTTCAGATTTATTTTTAGAAGTTGTTGAAGAGTTTAAGTTTGTTATGTCTAAAAAAATTCAGGTTAGGAAAAACACTTTTTTTAAACATTTGTTGCTAAGATTTAACAACATCAATTTTATGCAAAGTATTTTAATTCTGTAAACGTAAATACACTTAAGTTTGGTTGAAAGTGCTATCTGAAGCATCAAAAGACCCTGCCTATGCTACTGAATACACATAGCATAAAATATTTGCACATAAAAACATTTGCACATAACACAAAATATTCAGATTATGTGTTTCCAGAATAATTTAAAAAGCTAGACAACACAACCTAGCTCAACACTTGTAACACCGCTTGGCACTAAACGCTGTCAAGTAACACCACAATATAGTAACACCGCTTGGCATTAAGTGTCAAGTAACACCACTAATTAGTAACACCGCTTGGCTAGCAAGAATCACAATCTTGCACCACACGTTGCCAAGTAACATCACTTTTCACATGGAAACAACTTAATATAAACTTATATAAACTCAAGCACATAAATATAAACAAAGATATATAAACGCATATCTGATTAATTTTTTGCTATACTAATCTAAAATGAACAAAAACAGTAAAGTGCTATTTATCAGTTTAAACCTATGAAACTATGTGTAAAGCGTCTAATAAAATTTGTGAACAAGAATTATATCTAAACTGGTTTGAAACAGAGAAAAAGTCAGAAGTATCTTGTAATAACATACTATATTGTATGTTATAACAAGATACTTATGACCGGACTGAGAGTGCATCAAATGTTTTTAAAATGACTTTTTGTAGCGCAGACTTTGAAAAATTGAATGAATTCGATGCTGTTTTAGCTGTTATTGAATTGCTATTTGTTGGAGGCAGATCTCAATTTTAGTTCTAACATTAGACTACCTATTTTAATTTATCTTAACCAAAGCGAAGAAAGAATATTTATGTGTTTGTTTTGCAAGAAACTGATAAACATTTAGTAAAGAATAAAAGAAAGCAAAGATTATTCCTCAACCTATTAGATTTTACAATTATTTAATCAAGTTTGCTTCAGATAAATAGTACCCGGTGGAAAATCGGCTAGCGAATAGCTAGCGATATTCGTTACGATTAAGACAGCGATTTGGCCACGAGGATCGTTAGCTTTATAAGCTAGCGATCCGCTAGCTAAACAAGCTAGCGAATAGCTAGCGATATTCGTTACGATTAAGACAGCGATTTGGCCACGAGGATCGTTAGCTTTATAAGCTAGCGATCCGCTGGCTAAACAAGCTAGCAAATAGCTAGCGATATTCGTTACGATAAAGACAGCGATATGACCACGAGGATCGCTAGCTAAGTAAGCTAGCGAATAGCTAGCACTAAGTCGTTACGATAAAGACAGCGGCCACGAGGCCACGAGGATTGCTAGCTTTATAAGCTAGCGATCCGTTAGCTAAACAAGTTAGCGACAAGTCGTTACGATAAAGACAGCGGTATGGCCACGAGGATTGCTAGCTAAATAAGCTAGCGAATAGCTAGCATTAAGTTGTTACGACAATGACATCGGTTTGGCTAGAAAATCTTGGCTAGGTTAGAAGATATGCTCAAAGAATCGCGTGCTATATTTTTCAGGGGAGTGAATTATAACCATTAAAATAAGATTGCATTTATAACAAATTAAATACAAAATGTTAATACTTGTTTCCATAAAAAGTTATAAATGTTAAAGCCATTATAAAATGTTAAAAGAAAAGTTATAGACTACTTTTGAAAAATAAAAAGTCATTAACAACTAAATGATTTTGCCTAAATTAAATTAATAATTTCAAAAGATATTTAAAAAGATAATAGAATAAAATTTCTGTCAAATTTTAGTTTTTTTTTAAATCTTTATCAATTTTCAAAAATAATTGCTAAAAAAGTTGTAACAAATAAAATATCTAAAAAAAGAAAAGTCAATAAAAAATAATAGAACAAATAAACAAAAAAAATAAGTTAACTGGAATCACTACATGAGTCAGTGTTTAAAATTTTTTTTTTTCTAACAGGATTGTGTATTTTTATATCACTTGTTAAAGAAGAACTTCTCTTTCTTGCAGCAAATTAACGATCTTTAGACTTTTTTAAGTGTTTTGCAATTATTGTAGTCATACTGGATTCAGTGGCAGTTAGAAATAAACAGTAAGCTGCATCAAAAATCAAACTTTCGACTGGTGCTATAAACTTACGCTTTTTATCTGCACCAGTTCGATTAATGCTGAAGCACAGCTTGTCTGTTAAAGAAGTTTTTAAAGCATTTTTTAAAAAGTCACTTACATTTCTCCCACCAATTTGCTTTAACTTTCTGCAAATGATATCTTTATCATTAGAGTTAATTATTTTATTTTCTAGCGAGTCAAACTCTTCAACTGAATTAGCTGGTAAATAATCTATATTAATATTTTCTTTATTACCATGATTAGTGTCTAAAATTGAACGCATGGAACGCATTTCTGTTTCCAACCCACAAAGTTTTCTGTACATGGAGTTCACTATAAATTGAATGCCTTCAACAGTATTGGGTTCAACATTTGCTTTCCGAATAAAGTTATTTATTTGGTCTATCCCAGTTTTTTGAGATGGTAAAGAAAAGGAAGACGATGAATTCAGTAACGGCTGAACTTGTGAAACAGACTACATTTCTGATGGAAACACTATCTGTGTAACTGGCAAGTCATCTACTTGATCCATTGAGGCAGAGACGGACAAAAAGTTCTAAACAAGATTAACAATGATTATAAATACATTCACAATATTCTGATTATATTACACTTTTTTTTTTTTTTAATTAAAAATCTAAAAAAAGCAAATAAACCATAAAAATGAAACAAAAAAAATATTATTTTTACGAATGGGACAAAATTTTTAAATGTATACTGAATCGGAATCAGGAAGCTTTGGTGGCTCCCACAATGGTAATGATGGTAAAGGAGGTTCTTCAAAGATAAATTTTTTTTTCTCTTTCTGTTTTGTTGACTTAAAGGAGTTTTCTTGTGTTTTTTTTTATGTATTAAAATCAATTTCTACTTCTGATTCTGCAGTAAGAATATGCTAAAGAAAATAACTTTTTTAATATATATACAATCATAGCTTTATACAATATACATATCATAGATCGTCCAGGCAATATTTTAAAAAAACGGAAACTTGTTTGGGTAAAATACCCGGAAAATATTTTCTCTTATTTTCCTCTTATTTTTGCTTATAGCTGAGTTTTTTCTATTTTTTTTTTCAAACTTTTCTTTATTTTTTTATGAGTGATGAGTGAAAAAGCTTATAAAACAAATAGATGTATTTAAACTTTTAAGTATAGAATATGTTTTAAATATCCAGCAAAAAAAAATTACAAAAAATTTCCAGAATTATAAATAAAATGGAAATATCCAAAAAAAGTTAATCCTTGACACATACAAAAATCTGTTACTAAAAAAGGACAAAAGAAATCATAATAAATACAGCTCATAATCAACTCAACTTTACCTAAGTTAAATACTCAACACATTTTATGCAATGCTTTGTGCATTGATTACAATAAAAATAATTTATTGAGTTAGTTTAAAAATACTCACATTTAAAGGTGGAATGCTCTGCCTTTTGTTTTGACCCACACGATTAATAAGTTTGAGGAGTCCATTTTTAGGGGTAAATTTTTTTTTCAATACAAAGTTTTGCATTTTTTGAACAAGCGATTTTGTATCAATTCCAACTGAAACGTATAAAATAAAATAAAATACAATTTTGTAGATTAATTTACTTTAAAAAAATGTTACTACTGAAACACTCCTTGTTTTTCAATTCCAACAGGTGTATAAAATACTAATCTGTAATATGCATGCCGAATTTACACAATCCTTATGTATTGCCTTTATTTGAAGATCGTCCTCCGTTAATGTTTGACCACGAGATCTCCAATCATCCATAGACCAACTCTTTAGCTTCTCTGGCATTATTATGTCACAATTTTTTAATTCTAGAACTTCACTGTCACAGTACAGATAAACAATATAATTCATCTAAAACAAAATATTTGTATAATGCAACATAAAACTTATACATTTATTATTTAGAAAATATGCAGATATTGAAGTTAAAATAGTATAAAGATTTCATACGAATGGATATATTTTTAAATCAACACAAAAATGTTTACAAAATTTAAAGAAACTAATCAAGTCCTGTAAATATCTTTAAACATTAGTTTAATTTACAGACCAATGGGATCTCCACCACGTCCCTGGTAATACCGCGCTCAACTCGTTTCTCCGCGCAGCGGCCTTGCTCGTCAAGGTTCATGTTTCGGAGTTATAGAGTTGAGAGAGGGTTATAACCACAAATAAGTAGCCTCCTCGTCTGTAGTGGCCTTCTCGGCCTTGAGGAGGTGAATTAAAAAAAAAAAAAAAAAAATTAAAAAGTAGTTTTCCCTACAAAAAATCATAATACATTTTCGAACGGGTGTAACATTATAAACATGTGTGCGACTTTTCTGATAATATCCAATTCTAAGGACTTTTGATGAGTATGGAAATGTATACAGTGGCTTCACATAAGATAAAAGAATTCCAGATATATGTAAACTATGGAGACTTGTACTTGTGCATAAAACAATGGAACCATCAGCAATAACAAAAGCACAATCTGGCGAATCATTAGAAATCTTTACAGAGTTCAATTGATTAGTAGTTACTGATCGAAGATCATTTAAGCAAACAACTGCATGTTGAAAAATATTTCTACCTGTTTTGATTCGTCTTTTCAATAAACCCAACATATTTTCAAATTGAAATGCAGAAAATGAGTCCAAAGGTCCATATTTTGCTACAAATGAAGCTAGATGAAGTAACACATGCACATTATAAACCATAGATCTCTTGCTAAATAATACAGGCATAAACTCAACAAACTTTTTAACACATTCAGATGCGATACCATGATAAGCTAAAAATTCATCAGAAGCCAAAACATACAAGCTGAAGTGCAATATAATAAAATGGTCATAATACCAATTTGGCAATTTATCATTTAAGAGAAAGGGTCCAAGATATAAAACAAACTGTCGAAATTCAGAGGCTTTCCAGTTTTTAAAATTAACCAAAGAACTAAGTTTTCTGTGGAATTCTGATGGTAAATACTTTCTTATATCATCAATTTCAGCGGATAATTTTATGAGTAAATGTTCTGAAATTCTACAAAATAAATTTAGGAAAGGCACTTTAGTAAAATAATATGTACATAACTTTTTCACCACACCTTGGAGTACCAGATGCATATATTCTCGAGGACATGACGATTGCAGTCCACTTAATTGAGAAATATCCAAAAGAGGTGAAGAGCCATGCTGATTATTTTCTGATATATTTTTGTAACTTTCATCAGAACGGGGTGTACAATGCTGATCTGTAAAAATAATACGATTGTAACAATACTCACCTTTGATATTACAGTACCCACATCCGTAGTATGCATTGTGATTGAAAATAATAAGAGCAAATGAACGTGCAGGTGTATTGCAAATAAAGTCAACATCAGAAATAACCGTTTGTAGTTCTTTCAAATCAAAAGGAACACTCAAAGTTTGCAACTCATCAACCAGCTGTTTAAGATAAACGTTCAAATTTGGCTTTTCAACACCGCAGTGCAAAGCAACAGGAAGTACACCAATATGATTGTAATCTCTAAATGACATTAGAATTGGCCAAAAAGTAATTTTAGAAGATTTAAAAACAGGCCAACCATCTAGATTAAAAAATAGCCGTAACTTTACTATGCCACTGTTGCCATCTTTATTTTTTAAATTTAACTCTAAATTACGATGGTCCATACAATACAATAAATTGTCTTTCACACCAATATATGACATTGAACTTTTTCCTTCAACTCTTTCAACCCAATTTTTAGACTGGTTGTAGGTTCCTGACTTAGCTTTTAGTGTAATAACAGATAGTGGTAAACTTTTATCATAATGTATGTTTAATAACTTTAAAAGAGCTTCCATAGCATTTCTAGTCAGATTATATCTTAAATAAAAATTTAAATGCTTTTGATTTATGTCAAAGCATTTTGATGTCATGCCTATGTCATCCTCCTTATCAGATGACTTATCTGAACTATTTGCATCGTCAAACTCAAATGAAATATCATTATTACAACTTGCATTACATTCATTATCATCGCCCTTATTATATGACTCATCTGAACTAATCTCATTGCTAAATTCTAACGAACCATCATTATTATAAATTGCATTATATTCATAACCATCGAAAATTTCATTTTCAACTGCTTTCATGTTAGCATCTTCAATTAAAGATACTCTAGCATTTTCAAAACCTTTTCTACGAGCTGTTCTTAATGAGCTGTTGAACTAAAAATTTAATTTTTATAAACAAAAATATATATATATATATGTATATATATGTATATATATATATATATATATATATATATGTATATATATATATATATATATATATATATATATATATATATATATATATATAAATAAACAGGGGCGGATACAGGTTGTAAAGATAGGGGGGGCACAAATGGGGTGGAGTTTAAGGGGAGGGGTATCCCCTTCCCCTTCTGGGGTCTATAATCAGCCGCCAATGATTTTTAATGAAATGACAACCCAAAATGGACAGTTTCCAGTACCCTTTTCTAACTAGTGAATACGCTGTTAGTTTTATTGAGTGAATGTCTGTCTTTTATAGAGTGAATATCTGACCTGAGAATGGATCGACAAAATTATAAAAAAATTAATCAAATTTTAGGGGGGGACACGAGCCGGTTGTGCCCCCCTCTAAATCCGCGCCTGATATATATATATAAATATATATATATATATATATATATATATATATATATATATATATATATATATATATATATATATATATATATATATATATATATATATATATATATATATATATATATATATATATATATATATATATATATATATATATATATATATATATATATATATAAGGCAAAAACGTTGATGCGTTTAAACAAGACCGTTATTATTCAAAACTAAGAATATAATACCAAAAAAATTTTATAGTAAACGGAATTTCAATAATTAGGAAACAACCAACATTTGACATAATAAGTCTGTGACAACTTTTTTAAAACATTTTATTTAATGGTAACGCAAAAAAGGGTTTTTAAAAATAATAAAATGATTTTAAAAACTCATTTTATAAAACATAAATATCGTATAACAATGATTTTAAAAGAACTTTAAATGACTGTTTTAATTGTTTAAATTAATATTATTTAAATAATATTTTGAATTTGAATTATGTATGAGTCAATCTTAGCCCCTATATTCATTTTGTTAAATTTTAAATATTGTCACTAGTGAGGAAAAAGCAAGTAAAAATATCTCAAAAACGTTCAAAGTATCTTTACGGTAACATAATAAAAATTAAAATAAAAGAGGAAAATGGGAGTTTAATTATTAGAGTCCTATATATAGATCAAATAAATGAAATGTAATTACCGTTGCAACTTGGCCCATCCGTTTAGAGCTTTGAAAAAAGCTGTTGCATTCCGAAGGTTCATCTGAAGATCTTTTACATGCCATTTTTGATATTTGATATTGATATTTTTAAAACAATATGAATAGTAGAGTGACAGAGCGAAAAAAGGAATATGGATAAAATTGTCGGTTATGTAGAGTAAATTTGAAAATGACAAATTAAGTCGTTATATATATATATATATATATATATATATATATATATATATATATATATATATATATATATATATATATATATATATATATATATATATATATAGTTCTATAAATTGTTGGCTTTGAGAGTACGGAAGGTAAAAAATGATTCTTTTTGACAACAAATTACGTCACTTTTAATTACTTTTGACATTCATCCAACATTTTTGTGTTGTCATAAAGTTGAAACCATTAGATTAATTATCTTTTTAAAAAACCGCAAAAACGCAAATTTAATTGACCAGAATGTTATTTAAAACGTTAAGAATGTTTTTTAAAAATATAAACAATGTTTTTATTTTTAATATTTAAATAAAATGTTTTTATTTTTAAGTTTTTTTACTGTAAATCAGGCGTGAGTGTTGCTACATTGACTACCTTAGCCTGACTGAAAAATAGCCTGACTCGCAAAGGAGTACTGCTACATAGACTGAGGGTTTGGTTTGGGCAGGCAGCCTATCAAATAATAAAATAAAAATAATTAAAATAATTATATATATATAAATATATATATATATATATATATATATATATATATATATATATATATATATATATATATATATATATATATATATATATATATATATATATATATATAGCTAGCTAAATCACAACTATATGCAGCTATCGACATTTCGCATTCAAATCGATAGCTAAAAAGCTGCGATATGTAGCAGTCAACATATCGTAATAAAATTCTTACTTTTAAAGATCTATTATTATTAACAATATTTATGGCGACCTTGTAGCTAGCTACAAAGGCTTACAAATATGAAACTAGCGATAAATCGTAATAAAATCGTTGTCAATAAAACTGCATTATACAGTTAGCAACTAGCTATCAATTTGTGGCTACCTTGTAGCTAGCTATAAAGCTACAATATGTAACTAGCGATAAATCGTAATAAAATCGCTATCTAAAAACTACGATATATAGCTAGCAGCTAGCTATAGATTTATCGCTATCTAGTTACTAGCTAAACAATTGCGAAATCTAGCTAGCGTCATATCGCAATAAAATCGCTATCTATAAAACTGCGTTACGTAGCTATCAACTAGCTATCGATTTTTGACTATCTTGTAGCTAGCTACAAAGTTACGATACGTTACTAGCGATAAATTGTAATTAAATCTATAGCTAAGCAGCTGCAATATGTAGCTATTGAATAGCTATAGATATATCGCTATCTAGTTGCCAGCTAAACAAATGCGATATGTAGCTAGCGTCATATCGTAATAAAATTGCTGTCTATAAAATTGCTTTACGTAGCTATCAACTAGCAATCGATTTTTGGCTACTTTGTAGCTAGCTACTAAGCTGCGATATGTAACTAGCGATAAATCGTTATAAAATCGCTGTCTAAAAAAATGCGATATGTTGCTATTAACTAGCTATCGATTTGTGGCTATCTTGTAACTAGCTACAAGGCTACGATACGTAACTAGCGACTAATCGTAATTAAATCGATAGCTAAGAAACTGCGATATGTAGCTATCGAATAGCTATAGATATATCGCTATCTAGTTGTCAGCTAAACAAATGCGATATGTATCTAGTATCATTTCGTAATAAAATCGCTGACTAAAAAACTGCGACATACAGCTAGCGATATATCGTTACAATATCGCAATGTTTAAAGTTCAATTATTTTCATAATTATAATAGATCCAACACTAAAAATCAAATTTTCAATGATGTTAAAGACTTAAGGAAAAAATTAAATAAGAAAAAAAAAATCGCTCAAAAATCGCAATAAAGCTAGCTAGTCGCTAGCTAATCGCTAGCTCGCTTCCCACCGGGTACTTTGCTACAAGCTGGCATTAAAAGTTTAAAATCGAGTATAAATATTTCAATTATTTCAAGAAGTCATTACAGCTTAGTTCCTAGTAAAAACGATGACAACTTCAAAACAAGAAAGAACATGAAGTAGCATTCAAAACATGAATGCTTTCAAAACATGAAAGAAATTTTTTTTTTCAGAAAATATTTTTTAAATCGATTCTACAAAACTTTTTCTGAAAAAACAATTTCTTTCATGTTTTGAAATAGCAAATCTTGTCTTTTTTTATCTAACTGGTGCCTTTTTTATCAATAATATTATAACATTTAAGCATGTATCCCTCTACATCACTAAACAAAACATTCTATTATGACTTAGTGGGAATGTTTTTGGTACCTCTAATTTTACAATTGGTTTTCTAACATGTCTAAGTTGTATAATGAGCAGTGTTTATCGTATTTGCTTGCAGCTAAGTATGCATGATCATCTAACATTTTACATACAAGTTTGTAGATTGTACATTGCAAAATATAACCTGAAAGCTTTCAAAATTCAAAAAAGTCAAACTAAATTGATATATAAAGAACATCAATTAAAAAACACTTTCTATTCTGGAACAAGAACATTAAAGAAAAAGTGAGATGACTTGATCCTACTAAAACGGCTATTTTCATAGCCACATATTTTTTTTAAATATTATTGGTATATAATTAGCTCCTAGAGTAAGTTCAATAAATGCTTCATGTATATTTAATAGTTTTATGGTGTAGTAACTTTATAATAAAACAACAATAAAAGATTGAATAATAAAAGTAATATAATTGTCTTTTAATTTAAAATAATAATGACAACACTGCTATTTTACATATATAAAAAATATTTATTTTTAAACTAATCTAATAACATCTTTTTTTTTTTTTTTGGCATGACTTAATACTATATTACTACCACTTTATAATACCTGTGTAGCTAAATACATTTTCAGCTACTAAAAGTATTTTTTATTTTGTTATTATTGAAAGTCGTTAAATGATGGGTTACCCTTGCAAGCATTAAGTGATTGTTAGTGTTGGAAATAATTTTCAAATAAGCTATTTCATAATGTAATAAAATTTTTAATACAGCAAAAACTTATTATTATTACTTAGGCAGCAAGGTTAACACTTTTTAATAAATATTTTGCCAACTTTAC